ATTTGCACATGCATATCCAATCTCTATATATCTGATTATTACTAGTCACAGTTGGTTAATTTCTGAGCTGCTTGGCATCTGAGCATGGCTATAAAGTCACAGTTGACTTAATACAGTTATACAACATTAAACTCAGTATAACCCCTGTAAGACATAAAATTGAATGAGATTTTAACCTTTAAAAAAGATCTGCATTTCATTTTAAAATATACTGTTTCTTACAGAAAGACTAATTGTTTTTTCTCATTACACTGAGATGTTGGTGCATGTTTGAACCAGTGTCCAGTCTACAAAGAGGAGGGTCAACACAGAGGAATCATTTCCTCCATGCTTCCAAGTGAAGCCAGCTATGGTCGAGTAGGACCTTTGACTTATCTTCACATAGGTGGAATTGGTAAAAGAAAGGAGCCAGGGGCTCCTCCCAAGCCCTTTGGCTTTTGAGACAGAGTCTTACTACATACCCCTGGAACTCAATATATAGACCAGGTTGGCCTCAAGTTTGCAGTGATTCTCTTGCCTCTGCCTTCCAAGTACTTGGCTCACAGGTACATGTTGCCACACCTAGCTAACCTTGTGAAATTTATTTCTTTTTATTTTTAAATTTGTATTTCTTTTTATTTTATGTGTATGAGTATTTTGCCTGCATGTATATAAGTGCACCTGTGTGTGCAATGCCCTTGGAGGTCAGAAGAGGGCATTAGATGTCCTAGAACTGGAGTTAGTGATGGCTGTTAGCTGCCATGTGGGTGCTGGGAACCAAACCCAGGTTGCCTGGAAGAACATCCAGTGTCCTTAACCACTGAGATATCTCTCCAGTCCCAAGTATTTTTCTTTTTCTTTTCTTTTTTTTTTCTGGTCTTTTTGAGTCAGGGTCTCCCTGTAGCTCCAGCTGTCCTGGAACTCACTATGTAGACCAGGCTGGCCTTGAACTCATAAAAGATCTGCCTGCCTCTGCCTCCTGAGTGCTGGGATTAAAGGCATGCGCCACCATGCCCAGCTAAGTATTTTTCTTTTTAATAATTATTTATTTATTTTGTGTTTGTGAATGTGTGTGGGCATGTGCATCCCACTGTGTGTGGAGGTCAGAGGACAACTGGAAGAAGTCAGTTCTCTCCTACCTTGTGGGTCCTGGGGTTGGAACTCAGGCCCACAGGTTTGGTGGCAGATGTCATCACATTGACCTGGAGATGTCAGATGAGCAGGTGGAGCTGCCGAGTTGGGGTTTGGGCTCAGGAAGGAGATGATGTGTAAGTGAGGGACTCAGGACCACTGACACAGGCATGGGCTGGCAGGAGTTGAGGCTGCCACTTCCTGCCCTGTCCACACAGGCCACCTTGACAAGTCCAAAACCAGCAGAACTGGCTGCCGTGCTACAGCCTGAGCCTGGACACGGACTCTTCAGGCACACTGCTGGGAAAGCCCTGGGATGGGCCCAGCAAAGGGACAAGTGAGGACCAAGGTCAAACAGAAGGTTCAGTTGAGGAGGCCGAAGAAGAGAGGCTGGGAGGTATAAGGCCCTAGGAGGGACAGGAAGACAGGCCAGCATTGGCAAGTACTGAGCACCAAGCACCACCACGAGCGGGTCAGGCGTCAGGAGGGCAACAGGGTGGAGTTGGACCTCTTCTTGAGACTGCCTTTGGACCCTGTGAGATGGCAGAGGTTGGACTTTGGTGGCCAGCTGATTCTCCCTGAAGAATGGACTTTGGGATGTCTCTGCCAGCCCCTCCCGGCCCTTCCTTCCCCTCACCCCACAGTTTCCCAGGGGACTGGGTCACCTGGACCTTGCTACTTCCCTGTTCTGCCATTCGAAGTACTGCTATGGAACTGTGGGTGCAACTGAAGCAGGCTGGACTGGAGCCCCCTGGACTGGGCCCACCCCCAAAAGCCCTGAGGGTGTCCTCTCTAGAGGAGAACGGTCGCCAGACCGTCATGTCACCAGGGGCAGACCTTGGGGGTGCCAGAGAGCCCCTGCTGTGGATCTGGGAGGAGCTGGTGAGTGAGCGGAGGCATTAGAGGGACAAGAGATGCAGAGAGAGAGAGAGAGAGAGAGAGAGAGAGAGAGAGAGAATACAAAGGACCAACAATTAGCAAGGCCTGGTGGTTCATGCCTGTGATCCCAGCACTCAGGAGGCTGAGGCAGGATTTCAAGTTGAAGGCCAGCCTGGATTGCAGCTTGAGACCTTGTCTGAAAATACAGTACAATAAAATAAACAAACTAGAGGCAGAGACAAGGAGGGGTGGAGACAGGGATGGAGAGGGTGGGAATCTAAGATTGAGAGCAGGGATGCAGGAGCTCAAACTGTAAGACAGCAGAGGAGAGACCAAGGGCAGGAACGGGGAGGCATAAAGACAGGGACATTAAAAAGTAAGGAACAGACAGAGACAGAGACATGGAGACAGAGATGGAGAAACTGGCAGACAGAGAGGCAGAGATCAGGAGGCACTGTGAGAAGCATGCGGCACTGAGGGTCCAGAGATGCAGCAATGGCCCTACCCAGGCCAGGACTTGAGCTGGGACCGGCTCCACGTACTTCCTGGCAGGCCCCTATGCCCTCTTGCCTACGGTGTCCCTTTTTCCTGCAGGGAAACCTGCGCCGAGTGGATGTCCAGCTGTTGGGACAGCTGTGTCGCCTGGGGCTGGAGATGGGGGCCCTGAGGGAGGAGCTGGTCACCATCCTGGAAGAGGAGGAGGAGGAGGAGGAGGAGGAGGAGGAGGGAGGAGAAGGAGGAGGAGGAGGAGGAGGAGAAGAATTGTGGTGAGGAAGAGGATGAAGAACTCTTGGGGACAGAAGAAGCAGGACATCCAGGGGCCCCTTACCCAGCCCAGTGCTTCCCTGACTTTGAAATGACTATCTGAGGCTTTTCATTTGACACACAAGTGAGTTGCAAATTTCTGCAAAGGAAGAGGAGATTTTTTTCTGGACCAATCAGATTTGGAATCAACAGGCCTCTCCAGGGGGTGTTCTCTCTGAAGATGTCTGGTGAGATCCTGGTAGAAGCCTGTGTGCTGTGGGCAGGTTTGGTAGATGCAGGGAGGGCACAGAGTCCACAGTTCTGTCAGTAGAAGAGCTTTCAGGGTGGCCTGAAAGCATCAAAGATGGGGTGCTTTACAAACGTGATGGAGAGGTTTGCAGATGAGGCTGAAGATCAATTCTGTCCCGTGTGGTAGGCACCTTGCTTGTTCGAAACATGGTGAGTCCAGATTGAGACCAGCCCTGAGTGTAGAGCACACACCAAATTTCAAAGGCCAGTGTGGTAATAAGAAAGTAAAAACTCTCAATAATTAAAAAAACCGAGTACATATTGAAATGATAATATTTTGAATACATAGGATAAAAATATTAACTTTACATGTTGTATTATTGTGGCTTTATATAATGAAATTGATTGTTTTAACTATTTCTTTTTCTTTTTACATGTGTGGTCTGTGGTATGTGTTGCGTGTACATATATGTGCACATATGTGTGCAGGTGTCTGTGAGTATCTTTCTTTCACTCAGCCTTATTCTTTTGAGGCAGGGTCTCACTGAACTTTAAGTATTGCCATTTTGACTAGGTTGGCTGGCCCATGAGCTCCTGGGCTCTGCCTGCATTCCCTCCCACAATGCTGGGGTTACCGACACACACATGGCTGTACCCGGCTTTTTTTATATGGGTGCTGGGGTTTAAATAGGTCTTCCTGATTTCATTGCAAGTGCTTTTACCTATCTCCTTAATTCTCTCTCTCTCTCTCTCTCTCTCTCTCTCTCTCTCTCACAGCACGAGTGTGGAAGTCAGAGGACAACCTCAGGTATCAGTCCTTGTTTGAGATAGGGTTGCTCACCGATGTGTAGACCAGGCTAGCTGGTTTAAGAGCTTCCGTGGATTATCTTGACTCCACATCTCTCCATGGAGCACTGGGATTCTACAAGCACGCTATTGAGTCCAGCTTCATGTTAGTTCTGGGGATTTGAACTCAGGTCTTCATACTTATTCAGCAAGCACTTTACCCACTGAGCCATCTCCTCTGGGCTTTGTTTTGTTTTGTTTTACAAGACAGGATCTCTCTATGTAGATCAGGCTGGCCTGTGATTCTCAATTTTATTGCCTTTCAAGTGGTAGGATTGCAGGTATGAGCCACCATGCCTGACTTTTTGACTTCTTTTTTAAAAAATTATTTATTTTTATTTTATGTGTATGAGTGTTTTACCTACATGTATGTAAGTGCACCTGTGTCATGCAGTACCTGTTGAAACCAGAAGAGGGTGTCAGATCCTCTGGAACTGGAGTTATGGATGGTTGTTTAGTGCAGGCTCTCCTCAGGCCAGCTGTGAAGACCCTAACCTGGATCGGGTCCTTTGCCTATTAGCGGGGCAAGAGGCACGGAGTCACAACACACAGACTCCGGGAGTCGGGTAAAAGCAAGCACTAGGCGAGGTGCTGAAGGCTTGTAAGTCCTTTTAGTCAGCGTATTGTTTTCTGATTGATCCATGCCACGCAGTCTGTCAGCAGTCACTGGGCTCACAAGCAAGGTACGGAGGCGGAGGCGTGGGCTCCTTTTGGCGGGCTATTTGCGGACCAAAAAGTGACGTGAATTCTCGCTGAATCCCAGGACTCTGAGTCCGTGCCATCTTTGGAGGCCTCCTGCTACATTTCCACCCTTTTTCTTTAAAAATGACTGTCCAGCAAGAGCCTGTAGGCAGCTCTGCCTTGGGATGACCCCAGGATCATGGACTGTGCCTGTCTTAGGTTGTTCTATTCTGGCATGAACCTTACCCGTCATTGGAGTATGGGCATACACGTCCATGTCCTGGCTTAGGTTGATTCAGCCCAACAGGATCTTACCCGTCATTGACTACCAGCCCTCCATGGGGTATCATCCCGGGGGATCAGTCAAGGTGGGGAATTATCTGTAGGAGGCCTTGTACATTTGTGCAAGCCAAGTCTGTTGGGCTGCATAAGGCGGGTTGAAATCATCTTTGTGTACTGCTCTGAGGGCCTGATACACCGAATGATTGAATTTTTTTCTGACTGTGGGAACGAAGAACAAGGCATTTAAGAAGTAGAAAGAGAAGAATAATTATGCCTGTCAGGAGTAGGTAAGTGTCGGTCCAAGACGGGTCAAACAGTGCTTTTAGATTAGAGGAACTGCTGGCATAATCTTGGACAGTCAGGTTGAACAGTCCAATGCATGAGGATGCATTGTTGGTAGTGAAGCATAGAGAGTTATTTAGGGGCCAGGAGCCATTGAGTGATTCCCAGGAAGTAACTGGGTCCATGGTGGGGAGGCCAAGCATAGAATTAGTTGAATAGAGGGTGGGGTAGGCTGGGGAATGAAGCAATAAAGGCAAGAGTATAGGCAGGGAGGGGACCAAGGCCCAGAGGTCATGGGCTGTGGCCGGGGTGGGAAGAGCAAACCAATTATCCAGATAGGGGTGAGGTCTCTGGGTCCTGGGGGTCCTGTTGGTCAGTTGCTGGTCTCACATCTCTCGCTGGAACCCATACTGGCTTTGTTTCTGTCTGAGGAAACACACAAGCATAGCCTCGCCCTCTTGTTAACAAGGGGGTGGGCGGCTGCCATTGACATGTTATGGGGTCCTTCCATCTCACTAGTGGCAGGGGTGTAGGCCTAGGTATGGTATCCCAGTGTTTGTAGGCCAGCCAGGCTCAACCCATTTTCATCGAAGGACAGGAAATTAATGCTGAATAGAGCTTCAATTAGAGCCAGGTGCGGGTCTCTTTTAGACTCAGGGGTAGCAAATTTTTGTAATGTTTCTTTGAGGGTCCTATTGGCCTGCTCCACAATAGCCTGTCCCTGTGGGTTATAAGGGATGCCAAGGGAGTGGCTAATTTTCCATGTTGACAGGAATGATTGGAATTGTAGAGAGGTGTAAGCTGGCCCATTATCAGTTTTTAGGGTCCGTGGCACTCCCGTTACCAGCATTGTTGATTGACTGCCTTAACGGCGTGTGAGGCCTTTTCACCGGTTTGAGTGATGGTGAAAAGAAAGGAGGAGTAGGTGTCAACAATGACATGGACATACTTAAGATTACCAAAGGAGTTATAATGGGTGACATCCATTTACCGGAGGGCATTGGATAGGAGACCACGTGGGTTAACTCCATATGGATTGAGGGGGCCTAAGGGAGCAAGGGGTGCACATGTAACACAAGATCTGCTCAGATATTTGCATTGAGAGATGGGTAGGTTGGGTAGAAGGCGGTGCAGACTGCGAGGAGAAAGGTGAAATTGTTGGTGTAAGGCTCTGGCTTGTTCTAGTAGGGGAATCTCTACAGACATAATAAGTTTATCTACTTTGTCATTTCCCTTTGCCAAGATCCCAAGGAGCTTGGTGTGTGATCTTATGTGGGAGATGTGCCAGGGCCATTGCCTGTTATGTAGGATATCCTTGAGAGCTCTCATCATTCTACGGATGGGATCCTTGTGGCCTTTTACCTGAGCAAAGGGAAGACATCTGAGGGCCTGAACCACATACTGGCTGTCGGAGAATATATTGAGCGGCTCAATCTGGCAGACTTGGAGGATTTTTAGCAAGGCCAGGAGCTCCCCCAACTGGACAGAGCCAGGATTGGCTTGTACATAACAGGCGTCATCCTTTCCCATGTGCTGAATGACAATGCCATAATGGGACCTATTGGCATCCGCATGCACTGAATGACAATGCCTTAATGGGACTTATTGGCATATGAGAAGGCTAGCCTGGCTAAAGGTAGGGGTTTATTGCAAGGGAAGCATGTGGCTGAGTGGTGATTTCCAACTCCCCTGTGAACCCAGACATCATTAGTTGGAAAGCCAGAGAGTCTGCCCATAATGTTTGGGAATGCTTAAGAGGAAAGGGCAGTATAATTTTGTCAGGTTCCTTTCCGAATATGCGCCTGGCTGTTTGTCGGGGCTTAATTGCTAACTTGAAGGCAATATCATACTTAGAGCTAAGCCTCGTTAGGTCCGAGGTAGCCAGGTGGATCCACACCAGGGGGTCTTGTTGCCATAGCGCCCCAAGACACCATTTTTAGTCCAGAGGATTAAGGCCAGTAATGGTTCTGCTGGGTCATGACGTCGGAGTGACGCAGACCAGAGTATATGATCTATCTTATTAAGAAGATCTTTAGCTGGCTGGGTGAGAGGGATCCTTAAAGTTGGTGAATTATGGCTTTCCAGCAGGGAGAACAAGGGCTGGAATTCCAAGTCAGGGACTGGTATAAATTGTTTGAGACAGTTTATAGTCCCGCAGAGTTCTTGGAGATCTGTCAAGGTATATACAGTTTTTTTGCAAGATGGAAGGGTTAAGCGGTTTAATTACAATATCTATATGGTAGCCAAGGAATGTGAAAGGTTGGATGTATTGTAACTTGTCTCGTGCAATGTGGAGACCTAGACATTCTAAATCAGCAAGCAGACTGAGTATTGCAGCCTGTATTGTGAGATTTGTGTGCTAGCAGTATGTCGTCCATATAGTGGATGACAATTAGGTCCTTGGGGATGTTGGTTAAGGCCTTAT